GTTTCCCCAGCTGAAGAGCAGGAGGGGCTCGGCTGCCTCCCGTTGGGGATTTGCCCTCCTGTAAGGTTCCCTTCTTAACAGAGGAGGGTGGGAGGAGCGGCGTTTCAGTTAGACTGCTTTGGGCTGATTCAAATGGGCTGAAATATTAAAAAGAATTTATTAGTTCTTGTACTTGTTTCTATTCTTTTTTTAAATATGTTTTTTATTTATTTCAGAGAGAGGAAGGGAGAGGGAGAGAGAAACATCAGATGAGAGTCATTGATCGGCTGCCTCCTGCACGCCCCCTACTGGGCATCGAGCCTGCAACCCGGGCATGTGCCCCGACCGGGAATCGAACCGGGACCTCCAGGTTCATAGGTTGACGCTCAACCACTGAGCCTCACCAGCCAGGCTATACTTGTTCCTTACAGCTTCTGTAACAAATTCCTGCCAACTAAGTGATATGAAACAACAGAAATTTGCCCTCTCAGAGTTCTGGAGGCCAGAAGTCTGAAATTGGTATCACTGGGCCCAAATCCATGGCTGGAGTGGAGACATGCTCCAGGGGAGAACTGCTCCTGTCTAGCTTGGCTTCTGGTGGCTGCCAGCTTTTGTCACTCCAGCCTCTGCCCCTGTGGTCACATCGCCTTCTCTGTGTCTGTGTGTGTGTGTGTGTGTGTGGTGTCAGATAGCCCTCTGCCTCCCCTTATAAGGATATATGTGATTGCATTTGGGGCCCGCCCAGATTCTTAATTCTTCATTTAAATCTTAATAACCTAAATCCATCTTATAATTCTTAACTTAAATCCCATCTAGAGATGACATTCATAGGTCCCAGGCATTTAGATGTAAAGAAGTATAGAGCCAGGGTGGGCTTCAGGCAAGGCTCGATCCAGTGGCGCATTGCTGTCAGTGAGGACCCAGCTCTTCACGTTTCCTCTATTTGTGTCAACTTCACCCCGTCTCCCAGAGGCTTCTTCAGTCACATCCGACGTGGAAGAAGGGAATTGTCTTTGTCCCCACTTTCTCAAAGACCTGGGTTGCTCTCTGATTGGACAGCTTGGGTCCCATGGCTGCCTCTGGGCTGATGACGGAGGCCGGGGGTGGTGTGTGCGCTCTATCCCTGGGGCCAGACTGGGGAATTGTCTGAAACCGTATGGATCCCCAAGAGGAATCGGTGGCTGTTGCAAAGGAAGGGTAAACGCGGGGGAGGCCAGTTCATTGTAATCCAAGTCACCCAAGAGGGTGGGAGGACCAGGGAACAGAGAACACTTGAGGGGATGGGAGCATCCTTCAGCCCTCGAAAGGAGGTCGTGGCCCTGACCTAGGTATTGCCCAGTGGTTAGAGCTGCCCACGTACCGAGGGGTCTCGGATTCGATTTCCAGTCAAGGGCATGTACCTGGGTCGTAGGCTCGATCCCCGGCACCGGTCACGGCGCAAGCAGGAGGCCACCAGTTGTGTCTCTCACATCGATGTTTCTCTCTCTCTCCCTCTCCCGGTCCATTCCACTCTCTCTGAAAAGCAATGGAAAAAATATCCTCTGGTGAGGATTTTAAAAAGGTGTTTTTTTTAAATAAAAGAAAGCTTTTAGTTACAGAAAAGTTACAAAGATTGTACAGAGCATTCCCTACACCCCTCTGGGTTCCCCCTGTTGTCAACATCTCCCATTGCCATGGTAGTTGTCAAAACGAAAAAACCGACACGGGTACGTGCCTATTAACTGAGCTCCAGACTTTATTCGGGTTTCACCAGTTTTTCCGCTAACGCCCTTTCTCTGTCCCGGGACCCGGTTTGGGAAGCACATTGCAGTTAGTCGTCTGGTCTCAGTCTCCTCTGGGCTGGGACAGCTTCTCAGTCCCTCCTTGGTTTTTTTCATGACCTTGACAGTTCTGAGGCGCTGTGGCCAGTGTTTTGTTAGACTGTCCCTCCGTTTGGGTTTATCCGGTGGTTTTCTCGTGATTGGACGGGAGCTATGGGTTCGCGCAAGGATGCCACAGAGGCAGGCCCAGCGCCTGTCTCATCGCGGGACCTCAGGGGGCGTGTGACTTATTCCTGGTGACGTTAACCTTGATTACACGGTTAAGCTGGTGTCTGCCGGGCTTTGTTCTTTATCTTCTTTTTAAAAAATAAAATAAAAATTTTAATTTTATAGAGAGAGAGGAAGGGTGAGGGAGAGAGAAACATCGATGAGAGAGAAACATCAACCGGCTGCCTCCTGTAGGGGAATCAAGCCTGAAACCACGCATGTGCCCTGACTGGGAATCGAACTGGCGACCTCTTGGTTCCTGGGTCGGCACTCAACCACTGAGCCACACTGGCTGAGCAGGCTTTGTTCTCTGGCAGCAACTGGAGCCCACACTACAGTGTATGTGAGGTGGGGTAGGAGGCCAGCTCCACCTCCTTTGAGGATGTAGGTACATATATTATTTGAAATTCTTTTGTAAGAAAGATCCCCCCCTCCCCCCCGTTTATTTAACCAATCATTTATTTCTTTCAGCATGGACCTGTGCATTTACCTACCTTATCCTTTGGGCTGTAATTCAATACTAAGCTATTTATTTTGTTGTGTAAATTGTTCCAGTTTTGGCCATTGGGAGCTCTTTCAGATCAGTTCCTCGGTCTGTTGGATGTCTTCCCATCCTTTGTCTTTTTGAGCGTTTCCTTACTTTCTGGCACCGTAAGATGCTCTCAGCTCATCGTGTGTTTTCCCTGCCTCCGGAGTAGAACCAGCCATTTCTCTAAAGTGTGTGGTTCCTTTATGGTGAGTGGTACTTAGGAACCAAGGTCTGGTTGCCAGGTGTGCTCATGGATGTTGAGGTGCCGTTGCTTCCTGGCCTCCTATTGGGCAGAGGTAGGAGACACACGTGTGTGTGTGTGTGTGTGTGTGTGTGTGTGTGTGTGTGTGTGATTTTAAGCAGGACCATGGCTCTGATCCTCAGTGACCTTTTCTGCGAAGTGGGGATGGTGATAACCATACCTCCTTCACGGAGCCACTGAGATAAACTATGTAAGGTTGTCGTAGTGCCTGGCCCATGAGAAGATGCAAAAGGTGGTTACTGCCGCTGTGTCAGAGCTGCGTAGCCAGAGTTCGGGGGCCCTTGCAAGGTGGTGAGGCCTCTGCGTCTTGAGGATTTAAGCAACTGGGAGAGCCTAAGCACAGGATTCCTGCCGGAGTGAAGACCAGAGGGCCTCTGCATCCAGGGCTGACTCTGCACGGGGAGAGCCAAGGCTGGCAAGGTTGGCCAAGCAGAGGAAACAGGCTCTCCTGCCCTCAGCCTGCCCTGGCATACCTGGATGCCGGCTGGCACCTACCTCTGGACTAGCTTACTGGGGGCTGTGGTGGGGGTGGCCGACCTGGAGGTCATGTAGCCACGCAGGGAGGGCAGGGCTGCCTAAGGTGCCCCAGGCCCTAAGGTGCCTAAGGTGCCCCTCATAACCACCTGCCCAGGAGGTGGATCTGAGCAAGGTGCGTTAAGAGAGCCCCTCTCCGTGGTACCTGGCTCTGCCCAGCAGGCCCTGCCCTGCTATTTGGCCTTGGCCAAGGACACAGGGCCCTGCCTTTGCTTGTTGCAGGAGGAGGAGGGAGGTGGGGTGGTATTTGGGCAGGATAGGAGATGGAGTGGGCACGTCTGTGGCAGTGATTCTACCCCCTGGGGCCATCTGCTCAGCCAGTTTCCAAACCAGGTAACTTCAGGAGCGCATTTCAGTGGCTTCCTGCAACCCCCTTCCCACCCAGTGCCAGCGCCTCCCACTCAGTACCAGCCCCCAGCACCCAGTGCCAACCCCCTTCTGTGCAGTGCTGACGGGGATCCGGCTGCGCTCCCCTCCCCGAAGTCCCTGAACTCTGAACCTATTGTTTGCATTTTATCCTGGAATGAAACTTTTTAAAAAATCATATTCCATTGTTCATTTTCGGGGCACACTGTTCATTTTCAGGGGGAACCACGAGCCCCAGCAGGCACTCGCCTCCGCAGCCGCCAGTGTGGAGCCCCACAGCGCGGATGCCCAGGACAGGGGCTCCCAGCAGTCGTGAGAGTTGGCGGGATGCGGGGCGGCAGGACCTCCGCTGTACTGTTGGCAGGGTGTAAATTGGCACAGCTACTCTGAAAAACAGTTTGGCTGCACCTGCCAAAGCTGAGCATATGCTTACACGCTGACCCAGCGATTCCTCTTCTTCTGTTTTTTTCTTTTATTGATTTCAGAGAGAGGAAGGGAGAGGGGGAGATAAAAACATCAATAATGAGAGTCATTGATCGACTGCCTCCTGCACACCCCCTACTGGGGATCAAGCCCGAAAACCCAGCATGTGCCCTGACCAGGGAATCAAACCAGCGACCTCTTGGTTCATGGGATGACCCTCAAACCACTGAGCCACACCACACCGGCTGGGCTAGAGTTGCCTTCTGATGCCAACAGAGCCTAGCTGTGGGCCGGCACTTCCAGGCTCAGGGATCTGCGTGGCTGGAGGAAGTTTGGTGAGAAAGGGCTTTGGGCTGGGGGTGATATTGGAATTAAACCCTGAAGGATGCCCTGGTTGGAGCTGATATCAGAGCGACGATAAAACGCCAGGCACACTGAAGGCCCGCGCCCTGGGACGAGGCCTCCGCGTCCCTCTCCATAGCAAGCGGCATTGGAGATCCCATTTTACAGAGGAGAAAACTGACATCAGCGAGCAAGGCCCTGGGCAAGCCCACACCCCAGAGCCCCACATGGGCCGGCGGCCCGGCCGTCTTTCTAGTTGGTCTTCAGACTCCAAGCTCGTCCAGTCCCGGGCTCCTGCCCCGGCTGCTCATCTCCCTTTGGATTGAAGTCTGGCTCCTTTGTTATTGAGGCGCCCCCTCAAATGCCACCTCCTCAGGAGAACGTCCCTGATTGCCCTCCCCCTCGCCGGTGGGGTCTCACCGCCCTCCAGCTCGCCACTCTGGCTTCCTTATTTGTCCATTTATTAATCTGCTTACTGTCACCTCC